CCACTGCCAGCATGCCCGTGTGCCTCAGACCTCCTCTTTTCACTGTAACATGCTCCCTGGGTGACCTCATCCACTCCACTCCCACAGCTTCATTTATTACTGCCACATGCTGATGACGCCCTCATTTATATCAAATAACCCTGACTCAAATATCCCACTCTTTATGAGTCATCTTCCCCAGATGTCCCCTCCATATCTCAACTTCAATATACATCCAACTCATTATCTTTACCCATTCACCTACTTGTCTGCATACTTCTTTAGGCTTTTCTTCTTGGGAAAGAAAGAAAAATTAGATTACCTTTAATACTTCTTCTTCCTTAACCTTTACACTCCAGTCACTAAGTTCAGATGATTTAATCCAAAATTTAACTCAATGTGTCCATCACTCTTCATTTTCAAAGTCACCATTCATCTCCTCTCTCTAACCCTCCACCTTATCTTATATGCATTACACCAGTCATCAGAAACCTGGGTGCACATTAGAATCACCTGGGGAATTATAGAAAATCCTAATGCTTAGGGCACACTTCAGACCAATTATATCAGACTCTGGGGATTGGAGCCAGGTATCAGTATATTTTATATGTTCCCATATTATTCCAATATGCAATCACATTTAAGAATCTTCCAAAACTGAAGACATGAGCCCACAGATTGAAAGTGCATACCAAACAATAAGCAAGAAAAATAAAAACAAATCTACAACAAGTCAACATAAATAACCTTGAAGATAAAAAGAAAGTCATGTAACAGTTCCTGGAGAGAAATACAGATTATCTACAAAGGAAATTACACCAGTATTAGACTTGTCATATTAGATGAGACAATGAATTAAAAATCTTCAAAGAGTCCTGGCTGGTTTGACTCAGTGAATAGAGTGTTGGCTTTGTGGACTGAAGGGTCCTGGGTTCAATTTCGGTCAAGGGCACATGCCTGGGTTGTGGGCTCGATCCCCAGTTGGGGGCATGCAGGAGGCAGCCGATCAATGAGTCCCTCTCATCGTTGATGTTTCTCTCTCTCTCTCCCTCTCCCTTCCTCTCTGAAACCAATATATATATATTAATCTTCAAGGAGATGGGAGTAGGGAGAAAACTGTGAGCCTAGAATTCTATGCCCTGCTAAATTGTTCTTCAAGGATGAAATAGACTTTTTCAGACACACAAAGATAAAACTCTACTGTTCAAAGACCATTACTGAAAGAATTATCTTGCAAAGAATATACTCCATTATGCAGGTGATCCAAGAAAACCAGAGAGGTATTTAATGATTCTGACTAAGTCTGGATGTGTGAAATGTATCCATCACTCAAAGATGTCAATGACCTTAAAGATGATAATGTAGTTCAGTGCAAACAAACTTTATAATGAAACTAGAGGCCCATTGCACGATATGCCAGCAAGTCCCCTCTCCCAAGAGCCAGCACGTCCCCACTCCTGGGCCTCCCAGAGTCAGCATGTCCTGGCTTCTGTCTGAGGAACTACTCCAGTAAGCTCCCTCCAAGCCCTCTTTGCCATCATAGCAGGCTTCACACTACTCTGTGCATGCTTATGCAAATTAACCTCCATCTTTGTTGGGTTAATTTGCATACTCACTCTGATTGGCTGTGGGTGTAGTGGTGGTTAATTTGCATGTTTCTCTTTTATTAGGTAATATTGTTAGCAGGGTTCTGGCTAATTTTAATTGTTTTCTTGTGTAGACCCAGTTCAGCTCCTCAATTTCTGTAACTTTAGATAATAAAAGCAAGAAAGCAATGCAGTAGAGATCATTTCACCCAGGTGCTTGTGCCAATCTCAGCTCCAATTGGAGACCTGGGCAAAAACAGGTGAAGACTCAAAACAGGATAGAGATTGCTTTTGGAGTAGCTGTGTGTAGAAAGTTGTATAGGACCTAAGACAATAATCCACCCAAAAGTACGAATCGTTGCAGAGCGAGACCAACAGTGATTAGTGTAGTATATGCAGGATATAAATACGTAACAATATGCCTTTTCTTATTAAGGGCAAGCTTGTGTGTAACTAAAATGTGTGACTAACATTTTATATAACAAAAGAAAAGTAAATCTGTAAATTATCAGAAAAAAAATAAACATTTTATCTAAATTATAGCGGGCAGTTACAATGAAAAAACATCACTTTCCTAACTCAGGTTTATAAAATAAAGTCAACCTGTATTATGTTATGACCTGCTAAAAGGTCATAAACACTTGGCCCTTTCAAAAGATAGTGATGAAAGACAAAATGTTGATGTCATGGCTTGTTCTTTGTTCTTAACTGGAGTTGAGTGTCCTTTCATAGTCTTCTGTAAGTGGTGGTAGTTTGGCAAGATTTTCATCAGGAAATCCAGCTGCAGTGCCTGGGGCTGTGGTTGCTCAGTCTGCACCTGACAAAGGCAGTCTACACCATAGATCACTGTATTCTCAGGGATGACTTCACATGTATTTAGCTTGCAACAAGTCCCAATAATGCAACCACTTGTCAATATTATGTTTTTGCCTACATGTGCTTTTGATTCAAGAACATTATTATCTCCTATTTTCAAGCCAACTTCTTAAGTTTGGGTTCTGGAGATTCAGTGTTAGGAGTGATACTATCATGGTTAACTTTTTTTTTTTTTTTTTTTGTAAACCTGAGTTAGAAAAGTGATGGTTTTTCATTGTAACTGCCCTCTATAATTTAGATAAAATGTTTATTTTCCTTTTCTGATAGTTTATAGATTTACTTTTCTTTTGTTATATAAAATGTTGACCACAAATCTTAGTTATCCAAAAGCCTCCCCTTAATAAGGCATGCTGTTATGTATTTACATCCTGCCATATATTACTCTAAATAAAAATGTAGATGACAGAAAAAAAAAGAAAGCACTGCTAATATAACAATGTTAAAAAATGTTTACTACTTACTTTTATTGCAAAAAAGATGTAATATATCTAAATATTTATCAAAATTTTAAATCAATTTTACTTTTGTCATATTTTTTCATATTTTCTAGATGATTTGAAAATAATTTAAGAACACCAAAATGACATCATTCAATTACTGTAAAACTAAACTTAATTTCCTTTCATCATATCTTAGTAAAATCAACCATACATCTTAATTTTACAAATTAATCCTCAGTACTATATTCTATGACTTAACACAAGAAAGAAAAAAAGACTCTTAACCGAGAATATAATTATGTATTTAATACATCTTGCTTTTAACAGCAATTTTCAAAGTAAATACATAATAGACCTTATAACTTATTAAAGATTTATAATGCTTACAAAGTTGATTCTAAAAATATACTTTTTTTGTTCTAAATGAATAACATTATCTGGAATATAGAATAATAAATTATAGTAGTATGTTAACCACCACTATTGTTTACATTTATTCAATATCAAATCATCTTAGGATTTTAACACTTTCAGCCTTAAAATGTAAAAAGCATATTAAAATTTGGCATATAATATCTCAGTCTGACAACAATGGTTTTATATCCAATTTTTTTTTTAATTTCTAGTTAACATGTCAAAAGAGCATGGGTACATGCACATCCATATATGTACATACATACATTCTCTCTCTCTCAGTACAGCACATTCGCGCACACACACAAACACAGAGTAAGCAGAAGATTGCATTCACCCTTGTGTATCAGAAAACTGCCATTAATTTCAAAACTAAAAATTGAGGGAAATATATTCAAGCCATATTTAAATGATGCTAGCTGTATTAAAAAAAATATGCACAAAACTGTTATCAAGATTTCTAACATGCATAATATGCCATCTCAATACATTCTTAAACAGGTTTGAACTATTCACTAATGGGCATATGAGTAAATAGGAAATTATGTGCCCATCCATTCCCTAGATGGCATTCCTCTGACAATGACCCAGCACAAAGTGGTTTATTTTATACAGCCCAATAGATTATGGAACCAAAGAATGAACCCAAAAGAATAAGAAACTTCATTTAGATCTGTTTGGAATTTCTTAGGTGTTCCATGTGCAAAAGCAGCAGGATTCTATATTGCGAATGACAGTTAATATTACTCAACACTTTGTGGCATTTTGTATTCCCCAATGGCCTTTACTTTTAATTACATATACACTTAGGTTTGGAGGAAAAAAAATTAATTCTGATAGCCTTTTCTGCTCATCACTTTTACCGCCAGTAAAATCTGCCAAAACAGAAAATTACTCTTTGGATTCTCTCCAGTAATGCAGGTTTGAAAAATGTACTATGGAAGTTCATCTTCATTATATATTAAAAAATCCTAAGTTCTCTGAAATGACATTAAAATACAGGGTTAGGCAAAAGTAGGTTTATAGTTGTATGTGAAATAGTTTATTCCTGGATTATTATTTATCAATTATTGTATTATTTTTCATATGAACAACTGTACCTACTTTTGCCCCACTGTATAGAAAGTAACTACACATTAGGGCACCCATAACTCAAACTGCTGTAATTAGAAAAATAAACAGGAACAACAGTAAGCGGAAGAGAATATACCAGTTTTCCATTTGTTTTTTGGCTTTCTTCTTATTTTATTACACTAAGTTTATAATTGTTCAAAGCATTCTTATACTCTGCATGACAGTAAGAGAATATTTTGGCACATCAACATTGTGATACAATATATGGTATATTTAAAAAATTAATTTAAAAATTTAATCTATTAATCAACATTTTTAATGTAGTGCATATATATCTTACAATTATTTAAGTCAAATACACAAGGTTTGTAGCTGATTTACAGAGGAAGCAATCACAGATTGCAGGAATATATATGTGTGTATATATATATGTGTGTATACATATATATATATACATACATATATATATGACAATGTATATATGACAATTGTCATATATATATATATATATGACAATCACAGTAAAAACTGCATCCTGGCAATTTTATAGTCCGTAGTTTCATTGGTATATCTATCATTTACATGCCCTTTTCATCTTGTTTTTCTATACAAAAAATATATTTTTGCCTCTTCATTCCTGATGAGATTTTTCTGCGATCACTTTGCATTCATACTGCAAAATTGAAAAGGTTAAAAGATTAACATGTAAAGGTTTATTTTGAAAAGCAACTTAAACAATCTAAAAATTAATTCTTTATTAATCTATGCACATTTTATTCCTCAAAGAATCTCAGAGTTAGACAACTATTAGGATTAAATTGCAAATGTGATAGGGGGAAAACTTCACATTCTAGAAGTGGAGGCATAGCCAAAAGCAGAGGAAAGATGAGGTTTTCTTATTACAAGCAAATAAGGACAGTATATGATTTAGATGAGTCCTAGAATATGAAAGAAAGCAAAAGAGGTTTGTTTGAGTGCATAGTAAGATGAACCAGCAAAGGCAAGATCACAAACTTAAGGATAAGATTGACACTTTTGACTGTGAATTAAGGTAATACTTCTTTCAAATCACTTTACAATTTAAAGAAAAATATATTACATTAGCAAAAACTTCTAGTCAAAACAATACCAGTATTTTAAAAGTACAACTATAAAAATGTACACCCACAATTCAAAATAAAGGAAACCAATGCACTTGGAATAATTGGGTAGATTATCAAAGAGACAGCTTCACAAACCACTCGATTCTCCTACTGATTAAAGTAGCAACCATTTGGTGAAACTGGTATGGCCTATAAATGCTACTCCAGGACCCTTGCCACATATGACTGGGGTTATCTACAATGTCCCTCCATTCTTAACTAAAATGATCAAACATCTTGATTTGCTGAAGCTAATTCTAATTTGTCATTGTAGCAATGTCATTATTAATAAAACCTCCTTTCACTGTTAAAATTGTTCCTTTTTGAAGAGCAGAAACCTACAAATTAATTTACAAAATGAGTGGAAGATAAATCAGATCACCATAACACATTTTAGCTTTCCTATCCATCTTTGCTTCAACTTTTAATATACTTATGATTAAATTCTTCCAAATGACTTATTCCAATGGAATCACAGAGAGAAATCAAAGAATGCTGTCTTCACAAAATGCTTTCCCTTAAAAAAGGAATGTCATTTGGAGAAAACTTGTCTTACATCTCAATAACACAAAAGTGATTAAATAAGCATCAGCTTACCATTGCCAGTTGTCGACCAATATTTCCCATTGTTATGCCTCCAGCAAAAAATATACATGGTAACCAAGAGCGAACATAGAGAAAATCTGGAGAAGTATATCTAGAATAATAGAAATGTTTTTAATGGTACAATACTTATTTAAATAATTATAATAGAAATAAATTGCTCTTCAGATTAACGTGGCTAACCCAATTTTAAAATCTCAATCTGAATTCAGTTGTCATTTATCTATTTTAGCAAACAAGCACCAAAAAGAACACTTACTGATAAACACCATTATAGACGAGCAGTTGAGTGACCAAGGTTGCCAAGAAAGCAATTCCTACTCCGAGGCCAAAACCAGTTCGAGATCTATCAAAAGTCCACCACAGTCCAATGGAGAGAGCAGCCAGTGTGAGAGACAACTGTATGTTGTTATCAAAGTCCACTTTCTGAGATCAGTGTTAAAGAATCATCTTAAAACATATAACAAATAATACATCTGTTCATTTTTCTAAAATCAGATGTGCTACTATTAAAAAGGGAACTGCTTATCTACAGTGCATTCAGTCTTTTAATACAATGGATGGGATTAAAATTATCTCTGGTATTTACTAAAGACACATAGAAGGCATAATATTTCAATAGATACTACCAACCTGTAATTCCTAAAAACAAATAAACAAACACTTTATATACATTACCAATTATAAGATCGGACTCTTTATATGAGAACTGCTTTCTTTGCTAAAAATGTTAATGGGAAGCCTCAGAACACAAGATTTACTACAGAAACACACTTTTAATAAAAAGAAAACCAATATTACTTCTCAAACAGGTTGAGAATTAGTTGAGAATCATACAGGAACTCGAAAATAGAAGAGCTGACAGCTATTTAACAGGGTGCACATTCTCTGCATGATTTACTGGCAGACACATTTTATAATAATGCAGTTCAGAAACAAGAGTACCAAGGACACAGTATCCCTTTCTATTATGTCAACTGTTCTAGTTTTAATTTGTTGAGGATAAAGCCTTGAAGTGAATATTATCTTGCAACCTGCCAAGCTATTTTGGTGCCTGAGACATTCTGGTACAGGACAGTTAGCACAAATGATATTTTATTTCCATCACCTACTTAAGCATCAATTCACAAATGTACAGCCCTTTTCTACTCTAAAATCTCTGAGCAAAACGCAGCTTTACACATTCAATTTTCCCATTTCTTTGCTAGAGGATCACACTAAAGGAATGAATTTCAAGTATTATTAAAAGGACATTATCTATGTCCCAAAGGCCACATCCTGGCTCTATATCCAGCTCTCCAGGGGAGACTACATATCTCACCAAACTCGCCATGCAAGCAACTGGAGAGAAGAAAGCAGAAGTTCAAAAGACAGATCTGAAACCATTTCCTATTCCCTTTAACACCCTGCTATTTACCCTCTCCACATCCTCCCACCCAACCAGCTGGTATCCTGAGCACAGTGTGCTTCTCAGCTATTAGAGGCCTCTCCTTCGAGGTCACTTCCTGTTGAGGCTAGATTTATCAAGAAACCTCGAGTATGCTTTCTGAAAAAGTTTTGCTTATTCTTTAGCAGTCTTAATACCTCAAACTCCATGAAGGAAGCTTGTGAGCTCTGACTTCTCTATGCAAAAACATTCTTGTGAAGAGTAGACTTTGACATTAACTGAGTTCTGTCTTGCTAATTAAGTTTTAAACTTCATTAAAAACCAAAGCAAAGTAAGGAGGCTTCTATGGTAAACAGGTAAAACATCAACCTTAATAACAGTACTATGTGATTTTATGGAGTCAAATTAATTTAAGTCTATGCTATAAATATGTGCTTAAAGGAGGTCCACCTAAGACTGCCATATTTAAGTATTTGATTGAGAGAGAAAGACCAAAGCAAAAAATTTAAGTTAGATATATATACGTTTTTAAATTCTAGGAAAAGGCTATTTAACTTTCTCAACTTAAAAGTAGTTGAACTGTCTGAGATGAAAAGGTTTAGTCCACCATATAAAGAGCATTTACACACTGGTGGAGCTCCTGATAGAATGAGCATCCCCAGATTGGAGTCAGGATCTCTGGGGCCTGGTCTCAGCTGTAGGACAGACTTACAGTATGGAAGACTTGGCACAGCACCTAACCTCGCTAGCTTTCACTTGTGTTATCTTAATACAGAAAATGTGAAACTAGGTAATTTCTAAGTTTTCTTCTAGATACAATATTCCATGAGTCTATCTTTTTAAACCCTCCTAATCATTGGGTTTGTTTGCTATAAAATCTTAAATATCAAAAATTTTCCCCAAACTAAAAATGTTGGGAAATTTTTTAATACAAAAGGAAATGGAAAACCAATATAATATAACAGCCACTGACAGCCTTCCAAACCCACAGATCTCCAAGGGCCAGAACACTGGGAACAGAAAGGCAGGTGCAATGTGTTTTTAGTTTAGAGGACCCTGCTCTTTTCTTGGTTCCTCTTCCCAAGCTTCTCCAAAACACCTCAATACTTTCTGCAAACGGCATAGCAATCTCACTGCCACATGACCACCCTCTCTCCAACCAACTACCAGCCCTGAGCCCAATGCAGTTACAAGAGGAAATGGTGGGCAGCGTGAGTCACACTCCCTGCTCTTCCCAATACCACAGGCTCCACCACAACCATCCTGTAAGCAACATTTTCTAAAAGAGGAAGACTCCACTAGCATTTCCCAGATCCTCTTCTACAAAGGAAAGTTGGGGTAGACAGAAGAAAGTAGGGAGGATGACAGAATGAAAGCCTTCTAAGGGCAAAAACTTTTTCTCTGGGGGTAGACATTTTTTTCTGAGTGGTAGAAGGGAAAAAGGGAAGGACTAGGTGTACCGGTTAATAATGTGGATTTTGTAATCAAAACAAAAAAGATAATTTTAAGAGAAACATCAAAAGTGCTTTATTCAAAGTAATGTCCATCACTCACTACACATTTCCCCATCTTTCAGGTAATCTGTGGATACCGTCCCAGTAGAACTTTTCTTGTTTTGAGGCAAACCATGCAGAGATCCAATTTTCCACTTCTTTGTACATTTTGAAGTGCTGCTCAGAAAGTGCACATGCCATCGATCAGAACAAGTGGTCATCTGAAGGAGCAAGGTCTGGTGAATATAGCAGGTGGGTTAATACTTTCCAGGCAAGATCTTTTAACATGTCTTTAACTGGTTTTGAAGTGTGTGATGGTGTGTCATCATAAAGCAAAATTACTTTTCCATGTCTTCTAGCACATTCTGATCATTTCACAATCAAAGCATGGTTCAAATTGATTATTTGCTGTAGATAGCGATCAGTAGTAATGGTTTCACCTGGTTTTAGAAGCTCATAATACACCACACCTTCCTGATCCCACCAAACGCAGAGCATTGTCTTCTTTCCAAAGCAATTTGGCCTTGCAGTCATTGTTGGTGGTTGACCTGGATCAAACCATGATTTTGTGCATTTGGAATTCTCAAAATAAATCCACTTTTCTTTTTCTTTTTTTAAATATATTTTATTGATTTTGTACAGAGAGGAAGGGAGACAGAGAGTTAGAAACATCGATGAGAGAGAGTCATCGATCAGCTGCCTCTTGCGCACCCCCTACTGGGGATATGCCCGCAACCAAGGTACATGCCCTTGACTGGAATCGAACCCAGGACCCTTCAGTCTCCAAGCCGACGCTCTATCCATTGAGCCAAACCGGTCTCAGCAAAATAAATCCACTTTTCATCACCAGTCACAATTCAATGCAAGAAAAGACTTTCTTGCATGTTACTGAAGCAACATTTTACTGATGACTTTTTGGCTTTCCATTTGTCTTTTCTTCAGTTGATGTGGCACCCATTTTCCTTCCTTTAAAATATTTCCCATTGTTTATAAAGGATCGGAGATTGTTTGCTGAGCAACATTTAATTTTTCTGCAAGTTGTTTTTGAGTTTGACATGCAGCTTCATTCAATAATGCTTGTAATTGTTGGTCTTCAAACTTTTTCGGTTGACCTGTATATTCTTTGTCTTTCACATGGAAATCATCACTTTTAAAGCATTTAAACCAGCGTTCACAAGTATTTTGAGATAGAGCATGTTCACCATAAGCTGAAGTATACGATAACTTTTTCTTCAAAATAAAATAATGAATTAAAACTTCCTGCAAATGCTCTTTTTTTAGCATGGAATTAGACATTTTTAAGCGTAAAAATAACTGATGTTAACAACTTCAACAAATTTGACATGAAGTTTTGAAGCTTGTTATCAATACAACAAAATAGCATACATATCAAATCACATATATATCAACATATGTGTAACTCCATCTATTGAAAAAAAAAATACGCATTATTAACCGGTACATCTAGTAGATGCTATTTGTCCTTCTAGCTAGGACACTATAAAATGATCATTAATCACTAAATGAAATGTCAGAATTCTTAAATAATCAAATTGTAAAAATATATCCCTGGCCTGGCTGGGTGGCTCAATTGGTTGGAATCCCATACACCAAAAGGTTATGGGTTCAATTACAGTTAGATCACATACCTAAACTGTGGGCTTGATCCCTGGTCTAGGCATGCATGGGAGGTAGCCAATCGATATTTCTCTCACACATTGAGGTTTCTCATTCTCTCTATCCCTTCCCCTCTCTTTAGATCAATAAACATATCCTCAGGTGAGGACTAAGAAAAGAATACACATGCACACAAACACACACACATCTCTTCAAGGGGAAAAACATTCTTTTTGACCATGATCTAAGCTGTATATTTCTATAATGCCACCTTTAAGAACATTTATGTGGTTTGCTGGTGTTGATCAAAACCAATAAATAACAGTCTTTTTTTTTTAAATTATAGGTTCCTGAAATTCAAAACAAAGTAAAACAAAAAACCAGCACCTGAAGCCACAAGACTTTACTGGCAAATCTTAAATGAAAAAAGAGGAAATCCTTTGAAAATTTACTGTTTTATTCCTAGATTTACCAAAACTATATGTAATTTAGTAACCTAACTTAAGAAAAACATGTAAAAGTTTTAAACATGAAAATTTTCTAAGTTATATGGAAAGAATGGGATTTAAATGAAAGGCTAAATCCCACACATATAGATGCTACTGTGATGTTTTGACAATACAAAGCACATTCTTTTTATGACTCAGTGGGCATATCACAATTTGACAACAGTAAAGTTGCAAGGGGCCCTTAACCTTTGGCTTGTAGGGAGCTGCTTTGTTATTATGCATTTCATTACAGCAAAAAGGATACAGCGCTGGCATGATTTATACCAACAAAGACGGCTACGCACCGCATTACACTGGACCACTCTCTTTTAAATTTATGTGGTTCTCCTAGATGCCTGTCAATGCAGGGGTATAATAACCCAATCACCGCTGCAAAAAAAAGAGAAAAAATTACGTTATCTCCAATGTGATACTGGCGAAACTTAAGAATCACTACAACCACCATAAGCTTTTGAAAGATTCTTTAAAAAAGCTCTTCAAGTTATTATATTTAATGTCAATTGCTGATGTTTTAAACCTACCTCCCAAAAGAAAAATAAATGAGAACACCACTGAAACATTATAAATGATTGTAATATAATAGACAAAACACTACTTCAGTCTATGATTCACAATTTAGCAGAATGGACTAGATTCATGCTAATTTTCTAATACTAATGTTTCTGAGACCTGAGAAGCATCAAATAATTTGGCAGCTAAGCAATGTTCTCTCTAAACTATATTATTACCATGAAACATTCTATTAAACGCCACAAATCTTCAGAGAAGATAGGAAGTCACCAGGTACAACTAGCTCACCATACACACAATATTCTGATGGCTATGGCTGACCCATTCCATAGGTCACCTCTGGCTTCTTGTCTCAGTCTCCTGCATCTACCCTTGATTTCACACTCCCTTCCACCCTGACCCTCTAATGAGACTCTAGGTCTTGTTGGCAAAGCAGAGTAACTCAAAGAAATCTACATATAAGACTCATTCTGCACATAAGAAAAATGGAGGAAACATAAAAATTACACATTTTTGGCAAAACTTTAAATTCACTACTAAAATATATAATTAATAAATATATGTAAAATGTCCACAGTTGAGTATCAAAATATTCTCACACAATTTTTAACTTACTTGTTAAACCTCAACTATTTATTCATTTAGTTGAAGATTTGAAATGCTTAGTCATTAAAAAAAAAAAAAAGACTTTTTAATGAACCCAAACTTTCTTTAACAAATTATAAGGAAAATGTATTTCTACCGATTAAAGTTACGAAAACAAAACTACTAGCTATTTCCTGTTAACCTTCCTAAAATCAGAATGCTAGTGCTTGCTAGGAAACAAAGACACAACTGTCACCATCAGTTGAAGAGCATGTTTAAAATGTCTTATAGTACCTTTGGCTTAGCATGAAACTGTTGTACCAAAATCTCTATCCCCGAGGGTTGGATGCTCTCCCTGGCCTGATTTTGGCTACTTATACCTCACAAAAGATGCATTCAATCTTCAAGGAAAATGGAAATCAATTAGTATCAAAACTCACAGGCCAGCAGAGCAGTAGAGCAGCATGAAGAAGAAGCTGCAATAATGTATGCATTTTCTAACCCACAAAACACTTAAAGGTGCCCTTTTGAGTTAGGCCACCGGTTGACAAACTGTGGCTTGCGATCCACATGTGGCTCTTTGGCCCCTTGAGTTTTTAGCAAAGGTCAGCTTAGGAGTACCCTAATTAAGTTAGTAACAATGTACCTACTATATAGTTTAAGTTTAAAAAAATTTGGCTCTCAAAAGAAATTTCTATTGTTGTACTGTTGATATTTGGCTCTGTTGACTAATGAGTTTGCCTACCACTGAGTTAGACATTTGCTGATTATAGATGGTTCATAGACCATCAACAGATTAGCAACAAACTTCAGTAATGCAAAGGTGCAAAAACTGCTAGTAAATTTAAAGGTTTTATATTATAACAGGGCCTTGAATACTGTCACTTCATTCACTGCCATTTCACTGTAACATTATAGGAGTTTAAACTCTTTTTTACATCAATTAGCCTATGATAGACTGAATTTGTTGTCTGTCATTTCAATTAAAGTTGCAGAATTTATGAGGACTTCAAATGAGAACTTACTGTATATTCTTATTTAAAAGGCTAGGCTCTAAAATCCTATAATATTTTCAAATTGACAACATTTTCAAGTTTTACAAATTTAAAATGGCAATAAGTATGCCTAAGAGTTGAAATGTATCTAAATGAATATTATCTCTTTTTTTTTTTTCCTTAAGGGGTCATGAAACTAACAGTTCAGATGATACTCCTCACTCTCATTTTTGCTCTTTTTCCTCTCTTTGCCTATTGCTAAGTAAAATCAACTAAGATTAGGCATTCCAAGTCAATTTTCCTCAGCAATTGATGCCATAGGTAAAGAATTACCACACAGAGAAGACCGATGTGAGTGCAAAGATATAAATAAATAGATTATATTTTTATGCATGTGATGTCAGATTCACAAGTGAGAGAGAATTGGGGAGAGAGAGCAAAAACACAAAAGGAATTTAAACCACCATGCTGCCAACCTTGGGACCTGGCAGTACAAATCAAATCCATTGAGTATGCATAGTTTTCCATTGCTCACTGAGAGGGAGAATTCAGGGAAGCTTGTCACTTCCCATTACATATCTTCTTTCTTCCCTTTAAATAAAGGCATGGCAGAGTCTGATAGCAATGGCTACAGCACAGTGAACCTCACTGTGTAAGAGCTCTGCAAAGGTACACCTGGTGTTCTTTCCCTCTTTCTCTACTTTCTTATTTCAACAAAGACTATTTTATAAGTATGCCTGTGTAAAATCATAGGCAAACAAGTCCTGGTCAATCAGATGGTTCTCTGATGCAAACCCTATTTCTTGAGATAGCAGGATGCCTCATTGTATTGGACTTTGCTTTACTGAGCTTTGGAGATTTTTTTTTTCCCATTGAAGGTAAAACCCTCCACCAGCAAAAAAAAAAAAAAAAAAAAAAAAAAAAAAGATTATAACTCACCTCAAGCAAAAAAGATGTTTAGCATTTTTTAGTAATAAAGTATTTGAATTAAGGTATGTATATTGTTATTTTAGATATAATGCTGTTACACACTTAATAGATAATGTATAACATAAACATAACTTTTATATGGACTGGGAAACCCAAAAATTGATGTAACTTGCTTTATTGCAATATTTGCTTTATTTTGGTAATTTGGAACCAAACCTGCAAATCTCCAATGTATGTCTATATATTTATTTCCCAGTGACTAGTTATAGCCTATCAAGACTATAAACAAAAAGAATTTGTAAAACACCAATATTATCATCACTTTTACATGGTAATGTGTTTAATGCAGTGATACACTAAAAGGAATAGTTAAATCAGACATTTTTCAAAGAAATGGGGCTAAAAAAAAAAAAAAACCACTGATATACTTTCATGGAAAATGATTTATAGGATAGGCAATGTTTTCATGCAACAAATAAGCTCCTACACGGTATCTGGTTCTTGGTATTTGCTGGGGATTTAAAAAAGAAAAGAAAAAAGAGGAGAACCAAGATGACAGTGTACACAAACACCTGTACTCTCCGCCTCCCACAACTACATCAAAATTACAACTAAAATACAGTACAACCATCACTCAGAACTGCCTGAAACATGGCTGAATGGAAGTCCTGCAACTAGAGAAGTGAAGAAAGCACATTGAGACTGATAGGAGGGGCAGAAGCATGGACTAGGTTGGTCTGACACCTATATGTGGAGTTTTTTCATGGGAGGGATATCTCTAAGGCCTTCCATGAGAAGCAGGGGATCCCAGCCACAAACCAGACCTCCATCCCAGGGTTCCACATCTAGGAAGAGAATTTCCATAACTTTGAGCTATAAAAACCAGCGGGGATTGTGGTTGAGTGACATGGAGGCTGCTGGAGTCACAGATGCTCCTCTTAAAGGGCCCACACACAAACTTACATGGTCTCACTTCCTCTGAGCTCCAGTGCCAGATGGCGGCATTGGGGAGAATCCAAGGACATCTGGGGAAAAACTAGACTGCCTGGTATAGGGGGAGGAACTCAGGATGGCTTTCTCCCAGGCAGGGATGCTTACAAGGGTCATTGTTACTATGCTGGGACCTATCGTTGCAGAGCTGACTAGCAGCCACATCTGAGTTTCCATCAGTATGACTCACACTGTTCCCTCTGCCCTGGTGATTCCCTAAGATGCTGCACCATCCAATTTACAGCCCCACCTAAGCTGTTTGTAGCTGCTTTGCCATATGAATGGCCTGTCCTAGCACAGGCTTCAGACTTTGCTAAAATCTCTTAAACAAGCAGCAGCTGGAGTCAATGTGTCTCAAACCAACCAATAAAAGGCCCAATACTTGGCTCCAGCACCAGCCTGCCTTGATTCACAGCCAAGCCTCACCTGGGCACTTCCTACCCCAATACAAGTAGCACCCATCTCATAGCTCCTGGTGAGTGGCCCCAGGTATTTATTGGCTGGCTTTGCACCTCCCAGGAGGCCCCTAAGCCAGTGCCACCGGTGGACAGCTTCAGACCATACCAGGTTACAACTCTACACATTCACAGGCAACACACTCAAGAGGCAGACTCAGTGGGCATCAAGTGCTGCTCCACAGGGGTGTCTCCTGCACAGCAGCTTGGCCTGAGGGTCAATTCCTCCCAGTAAGCCAACAGCAAACAAGGTTAAACTACAACAAGACTGTGCACACAGCCCACACAGCCCAGCTCAGGTAACTGGGGAGACTGAGCTCCTGGGCCCTACAGGACACTAATACACAAGGCCTCTCTACCAATTCCAGAAAACATAACAGCTCTACCTAATATACAGAAACAAATACAGGAGAGCAGCCAAAATGTGGAGACAAAGAAACATGTTACAAATGAAAGAAAGGGAAGCAAGTAAACTGTTGAATACAGAGTTCAAAACAATGGTTACAAGGTTACTCAAGGATCTAAATGAGAGCTTCAAGGGACTTAATGAGAGCTTCAAGAGAATAATGAGAACATCAAGGGACTTAGTGAGACTTTCAAGGATCTTAGTGAGAATGTCAAAGACATGAAAAAGAACGAAACAGAAATTAAGCATACATTTACTGAAATAAAGAATTTTTTCATAGGGATTCAACAATAGAAATAAGGATTCTGAAAAGCAAATCAATAATTTGGAATATGAAGGAAAAAAATATCCAATCAGAAGAGAGAGAAAAAAAAAAGAATCCAAAAATATGAAGACAGTGTAAGGAGCCTCTGGGACAACTTTGAACTTAACAACATTTGTGCGTCATGGGGGTGTCAGAAGGAAAAGAGAGAGGAAGATATTGAAAACCTATTTGAAAAAATAACGACCGAAAATTTCCTCTGCCTGGTGAAAGAAATAAACTTACAAGTCCAAGAAATGCAAAGAGTCCTAAACAAGAGGGACCCAAAGAGAAACACCAACACAAATCATAATTAAATTGCCGAAAGTTAAAGACAAAGAGAGAGAATCTTAGAAGCAGCAAGAGAAAAGCAATTAGTTATTTATAAGGGAGTGCCCACACAACTGTCAGCTGACTACTTACAGAAACTTTGCAAATCAGAAGGGAGTAGCAAGAAATACTCAAAGTGATGAATAGCAAGGACCTACAACCAAGATTAATCTACCCAGTAATGCTATCATTTAGAATTAAAGGTCGGATAAAGAGCTTCACAGACCAGAAAAACTAAACAAGTTCACACCATCAAACCAGTATTACATGAAATGTTGAAGGGTATTTTTTAAGAAGAGGAAAAAGAATAAGAAGAAATAGATTTTTTAAAATATGAACAATAAAATGGTAATAAATACAAAACTATCAACAATTAATCTAAAAATTAAAATAAACAAACAAGAAATCTAATGAACAAAACTGATGAATAAGTAGAATTAGAGGCATGGAAACATGGAACAGACTGAGGAATCTCAGAGGGAAGGGGGGTGGGGAGGGCAGAAAGAAAGTAAGCCAAGATCTTATATGCATATATGCATTACCTATGGACACAGAAAAGAGGATAGTGATGGCCTGGGACCGGGCAGGAATGGCTGAAGGAGGGGCAATGGGTAGAGGGGACATCTGTAATATGCTCAACAATAAAGATTTAAATTTTAAAAAGAAAAGAAAAAGAAAAAGAGAAAAAAAGATAAGATATGACCACATTCCCAAAGTGACCAAAGCAACAATTAAATACAGTAATGTGTTTAGGGATAGCACTAATAGGGCCAGTGAGGTCTCAGTCTTTTCCTGGCATGTGCTGAGAGGAGGAGAGGTATCAAGAACACTAGGGTGGCAGGAAAGCTTCACAGAAGAGATGATCCTTGAGGCAATAGCATTTTGCAGGTAAATGGTGTGAAAACAGCTTTCTAACCAAAGCATTTGAAAACACAAGTATCACCTGTAAACTATAGAGGTTAGGCAGAAAGGGAGCTCAGCATCCAGAAAGGCTCTAAGGAAGGTAAAAGTAATAAGGGCCATATCATAAGACTTTACCCTGCAGATATGGGAACCAGGAAAATAATGCCATCACACCTGTATCCAGGAGGGAAACTGAGGGATGATACAAAATTAGATACAGAAAAAGAAAAGACCTGAAAATGCCAAGCAGAGTAGTTGAAGGCTTCGCCCAAAAGAGAGACAGAGGAAAGATATAAAACTTGGAAACTGGATGTGCCAGTTAAGAGAGAGAGGCAGGAGACTTGCAGGGTTCTCCAGAAATTGGGCAACTGACTGCATGACTAAACGGGAAAGATATGTTTTTTTTTTTCTTCTTTTTAAATTAGACAATTAGTTTCATAAGTATGAACACAATCAGGTAACTTGTGATTTTTGAGTCAACTTCTCTACTTACTTTAACCACATAATTATAATTGTCTTTTTTCTAGTTATTATTCAAAAAGATTCCTCTATGATCCTCAATAATGTTGAAGAATTTTCTAACTCCAATTCTAAGGCACATAAAGAAGTTAATCAACTCCAAACACTAATCATTATTAAACACTAGTCATTATTAAGCAATTTATCAGAGTTCTCTACTAGGTGGCCCTCCAGAAGCACTGGTAGCAATTTCTCAGCCCTATGTGTTATACAGAAAGATAGAAATAATCAGGGCCCCTTCTGCTTACATGTAAAGAATGGAGATTGTAGAGACCCTCATTCTGTGAATACTAGTTGGACAGGAAAATCAAAGGACAATAATCAGGTGATTTGTTTTTTTTATTTAAGAGAGGGAGAGCTTAAAGAGCTTTGAAAATGCATACCAACACATACACAAAATATATGCATGCTATGTACCCATGCAGAGTCATACACATGATATTTCTTACATCATTTATTTTTAGTAACATTTTTCCTAAAATTGGGGGCAGGAGGAGGCAGCAATTGTGTAAGAATTCATTTTCCAATTTTGGCAACTTCTCCAAATCTGATATCTTACCCAACAAAACCAGTTGCAGAGGTGACTGAAATCTACATTTCCTAATGCCTCTGCTTTCTTTTGCCTGGGTGCCTCACAGAATGCACTGTTTTCAGAAGAAACAATTAAGCAAGAAATGCAAATCCCCAAATGAAAAGATGTGATGTTGAGTTTGTTACTGGCTGGGAAAAGAAAGGAAAGCAGGGACAAAGTGAATGAAATGCAGTATTAACATTTAGAAATTTCCTTCCTAAGTGTGAGTTTGTGACAGAAGTGCCCCATCACCCTGTTCTCCATAAGAACTGCCCAAGCCAGAAGGTGCAACACACACCAGTGCATTCCATTCAAGCTTCGCACTGAAGAGGCTGGAGGCTTTGAAAAAGGCACCTGGAGTAGAGGAGGCCTGGGACATTTGACCTAGCTGCACCAGTCACTGGTTCTGCAATCCTGGGTCCCTTAACATCGTCTTATCATTCAGCTTCCTCACCCCCCCAAAATAGGCACAACGCTCCCAAAGTTGGCCTGTTGGTCCTTGGGGTGGAAGCATGTGCCTGGCACATTAGTAGACATTCAGTAACTATTTCCCTCCTCTGATTTTCCACTTGTCTATTCCTAAAAGTCATGTTCTTCCAAGTCACCAAAAGCTTCTGTTGGTGGCCAGACAGCAGTTCCATGATAGTAGAAAATAACGAAGAACTAGCAAAAGTTGTTAGGGACATTTTTTCTCTTTTCAGAATTCTTACATGATACAACAGAGAATGATGAAATATAATTTATGCTGTCTTCTCTTTGTTTACACTATTTTACCTATTCTTTCAGAGAATAATAATAACCCTATGGAAACTAAGAACCATCACCTTTACAACTTCTCTTTTTATGTGAATGCCGTCATAGTGAGACGTCAATAAATTAAGACAAATAAACACACTGAAGCCTCACCATGACAATACCCTTCCACTCATGTGATGGGATTATGAAATTGTCTAGTTAGTTTCACCAGGACATTCAAAATGCCTTATACCTAACTTCGTACCCTTCAACCTCCAGTTTTGGATGAAAGTCAAGAAGTATTTATATTACATTGTATTCATGTATATTAAGTATGTGACACCAAGCAGACATTCAAAAAAAGCAATTTTCTCCCTCATCACAATTCCCTTCTACTATACAATTATGGCTTCCATGACCTTATTATATAAAATATTATTAATCTATTAGAATTAGTCATTAGAAAAAGCTAAACAGCTACTCATTATGACAGATCAGCACCATCACTAAGGCTTCTGAAATGCTCCACTTTATCCATTATACATTGTCCACCAAACAAAACATATGACATGAAGCTTTTAACTTGAACAAAACTATTTGTCAGGTTTTTATCTACTTAAAAAAAAAAAAAAAAAAACCAACCATAACATACCCTTCAAACCAAACAGTGGTGATCATCATCAAAATAACCTAAAATAAGACTTACATGAGATGGGTTGAAGATAGAAAAACAATTAAGAGGTTGAAAGCCTCATTCTGAAGGGAATCAGGTTTTTTAAGATTACATTTTTAAGACCCAAAAAGTGTATATGCTCGATGATTCCTTTTACATTTTATAACAGGCACAAATAACCTAGTTGTGGAAAGATCAGTGGAAGCCTGAGGCTGGGGGTGGGAAGTGATTCCAAGAGGGCACAAGAGAATGTGTGGGGAAAGGCAATGTTCTCCACAAATTCAAATAACTGGTAGTTACATGAATGCATGCATTTGTCTAAACTCACCAAACTGTTCACTTAAAATAGGTACATTTATTATATTTAAACTAGAGGCCTGGCACATGAAATTCTTGCACAGGTACTGTCCCTAGGCCTGGCCTATGATCAGGGCCATCTTCCCCAGCTGCCCACAGCCAGCCGTGCCCCCCACCACCACCCACCCCCGGTTCCCCGTTTGATATAGGGTGATTGGAGCCTGACGACTGGGGGAAGGGACCGAGAGGTTGGCTGTTCCTGCCCACTCCTCCTCCTCCCCCATCCCTCCCTCTCCTCGGGTGGCCATTAGGTGACCAGAGACTGCGGCTGGGAAAAGGGACCAAGAGGTGATCAGCATGCCTCATAGTAACTGGTCCAGCTGTCATTCTGGTAGTTCTGCTATTAGGATTAATTTGCATATTACCCTTTTATTATATAGGATTACACCCCAATAAAGTTGAATTTTTAAAAAATATTGCTCAAAGTCCACACTCATTCATCCCATTTTCTTCCTAAGCGTTACAGAAATACTGCACATACCTGAGGCTGTGCCACAGCACGGCGGCACCCACCATGCTGAGGAAAAGATGCTTGCAATCACATCAGGTGGGAATAGTGTCACATTCCTCTGAATCTGAAGTAAGTTTAACACTAATGCCAGAAATACTCCAATGAAAAACAGCACCACTCCTCGAATCATCAAATTTACACTCCAGCTGGTTACAGATGAGATGTAAGGACCAAGCTTTTTGGGCCCAGGTGACTCTGTCTCTCCTTCTGCCATGGTTTCATAAGTTCAGTACGCCAGCAGAAAAAAAAAAAAAAAAAAGCTTCCCAGCTGAAACGAATTGTCTGTGAATCAAAGCAGATTGGAGTTTCAACAGAACCACATCTTGCCCTGAAATAGGACCTACCAGAAATCCTGCAAGAGAAAAAAAATTATTATGGATCTAATAAATAATTATATAATTGTCCTGATTTCAACAGCAATTAATGTAAAAGGACAAACAATGAAATAACAATATTATGTATTTATTTAAATTATTTACTGAATAAAAAAGGTTTAAAAGACATTTTTATATGAATTAAGTAATCTTTTTATAAAGTACCATACTTAACTATTGATAGGATAGAATATATAATGTAAGAGACTTAAAATTAAAATAATAGTAAGGACAGCTTGCTCCACATCAGAGAAAATATTATATGGGATACTTCCATTAGAATCTGGAAGATCAAATCTATTTCTCCTACTTAAATATTTATGCTTTACAGAAAATTCACTAACTTATATTTGACAGAAAATGAATACATCCTGACTGAAAATCTTGAACTGTTCACAATAAAATGTGACCTGTTCAAAAGGGCAAACTTCAGTGGGAAACAAAATGACACATCTTAAAGTTTAATGCTTATATAATTGAATTTCTGCACAAAAGTGTCTTGACAAAAGCAGACCACCACTCAGTCACCTACACACACACCAAGCACAGAAACTAGACCTGACCCTCCCTCCAGAGCCACAGCTTGTCCCACCCCTGCCTGGACCCAACCCACCTTTCTTGCAAGCATGGGAGCTTTGGTGAGAAAGCTGGAGGAGGAAGCAGAAGGAAGGAAACTAAGAAAATGAAGAATGACCTAGATTCTAACAAAGAAGCTAGATTCTAATGAGTTTTATCCACATAGATCCTGACTCCTAAAACCTAGATCTTTGCTAGTACAATCAGTGTATTTGTTCACTCTAATCAAAGTTATCTTTCCTTTATATTTAAGACAACACTTGAGGCTTTCTATAATATGAGCTGCTCTAAGCCCCTGACATATGGTCACTCATATAACTCTCAGAATAACCTAAAAGGTAAGTACAATTATTATATCCATTTTACAGGTGAGGCAAAAAAAGATGTTAAGTGACTTAACCAAGTTTATACCCCTAATAAGAGGGTGAGCTGGGATTCTAATCCATGCCATCTGGCTCCAAACCCTCATCTTAACCATGGTGCTCAGCTTCTCAAAGCATTGCATATTCTTCTGTGTTTTCTATATTTTTTAATGGGAAAATACTATACAATTTTTATAGCTTACTTTTATTCCACCCAACAATAATATATCCTGGGCATGATCAGAAGTCAGCACATAAGTGATGTTTCCTTTGCGTCTCAAAGCAGTTTATGTAAAAGGTCAGGGTGACACTGAAGTAGCTGCCTTGTAAGAACATATATAGCTGCTTTGTGGGCTATAAACTTGTTCCATGGGGCTTATTCACTACCGAGCCTCCAGCGTGCCTATCTACCCGGAAAGGCGCCTGCCTCGCCCACAGTGGGCGCTCTTCGTATCCATACTTGTTTAGTGAAACTGGGTTAACTCTTTTTGCCTGTTTATTTGTTTATCCTCAACTGAGGATATTTTTTCCCATTGATTTTTGGAGACAGTGGAAGGGATGGGGAGAGAACGAGAGAGAAACATCAATGTGAGAGAGACACAACAACTGGTTGCCTCCCGCATTTGCCCCAACTGGGGACAGGAATTGAGCATACAACCGAGGTACGTATCTTTGACTGGAACCGAGCCTTTAGTCTGCAGGCCGATGCTTTGACCACTGAGATAAACCATTTAGGGCTGGATTAACTCCTTTTGAATCAAACTACATAGGGTTAAACAGGCCTTTTGAAAGGCAACTGAACACATAATCATAATTTAAACTATTTAAATTTAAACTCGAGTTTCCAAGTTCCAATTTACCTTACAAATGAGCTTTGGAATAAAAGTCATGTGTAAACTGAGGGGAAGGATACTGACTTTAGAAATAATCAGCATGAAAATGAGAATATTCGTAAGTACCAGCAACTTTCACCGCTTACCAGTGTCATGTGATAAGCACAGACAACAGACTTTGTTTATTGAGCCTCTGCCACACCCAAAGCCTGTGCTCAACACTCAAGGGAAGAATTCTGTCCTCAAGCTGGTCCTCACAAATCTTAGTCTGCAGCATAACTTAGTTCTACAGCGTAGAGGACTAGAGCAAATAGTACATGTTACAGCTGATTTAAGGGAAAATAGACTCTAAACACCCGTTGATATTTATTGCCCAGAAACATCCCCTCCTGACCTGGTCTTGCCGACTAGTCCTTGCAGTAGTATGCAGCATGTCCGCATGTCATGTGTTCTAGTCACAAGGTGTTCAGTAGCTACTAAATTCTTCCTCATCTTCATCATCATCATCATCATGACTACTGATATAGCACCCATTCATGAAGGGCCTACTCCATGACACAGAGTAACTCTAATCTTCAAAATAATCCTAAAAGTAGGTGTTACCATCCTCATTTTACAAATGAAGATATTAAGTCAAAGAGATTTAGTAACTTGCTTAGTTAGAGTCAACTGTCATACCATATTAGAACTGGAATTTTTCCTTACATCTGACTGATTCCAAAACCCCTTCTCTTTCCTCTAACCTTGAGTCCCATTCTATCCTAACTCCTAAGGCTTCTCTTTTGGCATCTGGATCTATAGAAGAGGATGACTGAAAAGATGGGTATGAGGCAGGATAGCAAGAAGCTAGGAAAATTCCTTGGCAAGTGGAATGGAGAAACTGAGACAGATGGGTGATTCAAACCGGCCTCATCCAGCATCCTAACCCACATGTGTCCTCCTCCCTGGCACAACCACTCCATTAAGCATTAAGTCCTCGGGGTAGTGAAATTCTGATTGTCTCAATAATCTTAGCAGCAAAGCCTTGGGTCTGCTGACCGCGTAGACAGAGTTTTGGTCAAACTAGAGATAATACCTAGGCCTCAGTTGTGTTTCAGCTACAGGCCCAGAAAAGCAGCAAAACCAGATGAAGCTATGCCATGACTGACATTTGGACCAAATGCAATGACTAATGAACCCCTACCCTAGCACTGACCCTAGAGACCAGGATCCTGAAAGGACACGACTGGAAAGCTGATAAATATTCTACTGAGATCCTCTGAGAACTCCCCTAGAATGCCCACCTTTAGAAAACAGACACAAACCCTTAAGACAAAGAACCCAGTATGCTCTCTCTCTGGAGCATGCTTGAGCCTGCCCCCTCCTTTTTCCCCTCAGGTATGTACCTTTGCTTTCTTCCTCCTAAGCTCCAAGGCCTTTCTGTTGCCTCTATAAGTTGTTTCCTTATCCACACAACCCAGCTAGCTCACTTCTTCTACCTCTGTGACTTTCTAAATAAACTTCCTATGCTGGAAGTACATTTAAATGTACTAGACTGAAGAGTAAAACAAATGTTTTAAAGGAAAAAAAATCATATTGCCAACTTAACATATTGCATTAGACTATTGGTTGGCAAACTCATTAGTCAACAGAGCCAAATATCAACAGTACAACCTGAAGTTTCTTTTGAGAGCCAAATTTTTTAAACTTAAACTTCTTCTAATGCCACTTCTTCAAGAGACTCGCCCAGGCCGTGGTGTTTTGTGGAAGAGCCACACTCAAAGGGCCAAAGAGCTGCATGTGGCACGAGAGCCGCAGTTTGTCAACCATGGCACTAGACCAACAGCTGACTCTTCACTTCATAAACTTCCAGGAGATACAGCAAACCCCCACTTTTGCTGTTAGAACAGCTACTAGAGGACAAAGAATATTCAGTGGACTCTTGAACAAAGTGGGGGATAGGGGTGCTGATGCCCTTGCAGTTGAAAATCTGTAACTTCTGCTCCTGCCCCAAAAACTTAACTAAATTAATTAGCATAGTATCTTGGAGGGACTGGTTCCAGGACTGACCACAGATATCAAAATCCACAGATGTTCAAGCTCCTTATACAAAACTAGAGGCCCAGTGCACAAAATTCATACATGGGGGGGGCGGGAGGGGAAGATTCCCTCAGCCCAGCCTGCACCTTCTCACAATCTGGGACCCCTCAGGGGATGTCCGACTGCCAGTTTAGGCCTGATGCCACAGGGATCTCTGACCTAAACTGGCAGTCGAACATCCCTCTTGCAATCCAAGACTGCTGGCTCCTTACTACTCACCTGTCTGATCGCCCCTAACCACTCTGTCTGCCTGCCTCATTGCTCCTAACCACTCTGCCTGCCTGCCTGCCTGATCGCCCCTAATCTCTCACCTGCCTGCCTGATCGTCCCTAACCACCTCTGCCTCGGCGCCCCCTGCTTTGGCTTCATCCAGAAGGACATTCAGAATGATGTCTGGAAGATGGTTCGGCTGTCCGGTCTAATTAGCATGTTAAGCTTTTATTATTATAGATGGTATAAAACAATGCATAGTTGGTCCTTACATATGTGGATTCCCAACCATGGATTGGAAATTCATGATGGGCTGAATTTGTGGATTCAAAAGCAGAAGTACCAAGGACCAATTATATTTATTGGGGGGTTGGGGAGAATTCCGCATATAAGTGGACCCATGCAGTCCAAACCCATGTTGTTCAAGGTTGATCTTACATACATTTTTAACTGCTCTAGTAAATCATTTGTTTATATTCGTAATTTTTTTTTTCCCAAAAGGGAATGACTGGCAAAGGATGTTTCATGTACAATAAATAATGTTTTTAAGAGAGCAAAATAACTAGTTCTAAAACTTATTTCAGTTGTGGTAGGCCCCATCTCACAGTCATTCCCCAGGGGTTGTCAGAGCTTAAGCATTTGGGACTGGACAATTCCTTGCTGTGTGGACCTGCCCTAAGCATTGCAAAACACTTCCCTGGCTCATGCCCACTAAACGCCACTACATACTCTCTCCCCAATTTGAGACAATTAAAAATGCCCCTCCACATTTCCACATGC